TCACTCTGAGAAGCACAGAGCTGAAGACACAAGCCTGAAGATGATGAATGAGACTTCATCGAAACGTTGCCTAGATACTTCCAATCTTACACGGGAGAAAACCCGAATAACCAAAGATCCACATACAAATACCCGCGAGAACCTCAGAAAACACACACACACACACACACACACACACACACACACACATTGATGTGACAAGTGCTAATCTGTATGCTTGGTGGTTTCCTTATAGCAGGTCAAATGGTTTCTCCATCTAGCTCAGTAATCTGCATGAAGACATCATTCCTTCTTCTTGCAACATCTTGTTGTTAGATGGAGAAATTGGAGATTGAACTAGAGATTGAATGTGAGATTGAACTACTTTCGGTTTATAATCTTGGCCTTTCTTGTAAGACTGTGCTCCTGTCCAGCTCCAAAAACCAAGAAAGACACACACACACAGTTACTTCTAAGAAGTCAATGTTCCTCAGCTATATGCAGAAGGCCTCCCCAACTAAAGCAAACTACTTGCATCATTAGAGATATACTCTTGAGAACTTCTAGCACACTTGACCCTCTATCTCCCAACCAAACTACTTAAACTTACTATCTCTGTCCTCTGGAATCCAGACTATGTTCCACCATGGCTCCACAGCTGTAGTCCAGGCTATTTCCCTCCTTAGGATCCAGTGAAAGCCATAAAGAACTCCGTCCCTTCTCAGGTTTGGCGATATCCTTACCTGAGTAGGAGAAAAAGTCATGCAAATGTTTAAAACATGGAGACAATGTTCAGGCAGTTTAGAGGGATAGATTCGTCCTGTGAACTCTGATTTCACAATGGTCCTGCTATGAATTCTTCAAAAGATTAAGTGATATTACCTACACCAAGAACTGCAAGTGTCAGATGGATACAACACTTAAAGAAGGGAATATGAGATCCATCTTCATCTCATTGCAACTTCAACTTAAGCCTCTCCTTTACACCTGTTTTGGACACCATCCAATATGGCATAGCGCCCTTCTAAACCCATCATGCCAACAGCCCTCCAGGGCAGATCTATACCTGAAGATACTCATGTCTGGCTCCTTTTCAGCAGTAAACCTACCACAAAAGCCTTCATGGTGGAGTTGCAGGAGAAAAATACCGGGACTGCATGACTTCTTTTTGTCTGAGAACTACATTAACCTCTTGAGGGACAGGCTGAAAGAAGGGGAAAATGATGCAGTTGGGGGCAGCAACATGAATTAAGCTAAAATAATATTTCATTTAGGATGGTTAAAATGATTGCTCACCATGTTTATAATGACTTTTTCTTTATATCACATTAAAACATGATATTGAAATCAATGTTGGTGAGGATCTCGACAGTGGTGGGATTCTACATGTTTTTCAACTGGTTCTATGAGAGTGTGCTTTGCACTCGCATGCACACAGCACTCAAAAAATGCCCTCTGTCAGCGCTAGTGTTTTTTTAGTTGTGCGAATCAGCTGAACTAAAAAAACAAGGGAATATAGGACAAGAAAGGATGGGGGAGAACAGCCAGAGGTGTTATTTGCTGGTTCTCTGAACTACTCAAAATTTCTGTTACCAGTATGCCAGAACCGGTCTGAACCGGCTGAATACCACCTCTGGATCTGGAGGTCGTCTACAGGTAGTCAGGCAGTCAGATGTTATTTGTAACCTGGGCTGTTTTCTTCTTCTTATGAAGGCATCTCAATCCCTGGTTGGAGGTGAACTTCCTTTGTTCTTGCCTTGCAGGTAAACTTGGGGGCCAAGATTCTTTTGAGAGTATAGAGAGTTATGACAGTTGTGACCGTCTGGCGCAGTCTTGGAGCAGCCAGTCATCCTTCCAGAGTCTCCAGCGCGTCCCTTCTTATGATAGCTTTGATTCGGAGGACTATCCTGTCCCTCTGCCCAACCACAAGCCCAAAGGCACTTTCAAGGACTATGTTCGAGACCGAACTGACATGAACAAGGACAAACCTGTCATCCCTGCTGCTGCCCTGGCCGGTTACACAGGTAAGATGCTGGAGAAATGTGGGTGATCGAAGCAGTTTCTCGTGGCTGCATTCATGCATACAACATGCTCAAATTAGATTGGTCAAGGAAGGATCTGGTGGTTTGCATTTGTGCAATCAGCTAAGTGAAGGTTCCTTAAAATTTTGTTTAATATTTCTTCTACAACAGGGGTGTCAAACTTGATTTCATTGAGAGCCGCATCAGGGCTGTATTTGACCTTGGGGGCTGGGCTGGGCTGGGCGTGGCCAGGGTGGGCGTGGCCAGCTTGATGTCACTTGTGTCGGAGTCTCCTGTGATAGCCCAAGTGCACGGCCAGCGAAAACAAGCTCCCCATCTCCATTTTTGGCCATGATGGCCTCCTGCACCTCTCTACCAGAGAAAACAGAGCCCTGTTTTTGCTGACAGAGGCACCCCAGGTCGGTCCTTCACTGTTTTCAGGGAGGCCCCGCAGACCAGATCTAAGCACCCCACTGGCTGGATCCAGCCCCCTGGTCTTGAGTTTGACATCCCTGATCTACAATCTCAGTGCTTTTGGTTACTTTATAATTCATCTCATTCTACAAACCAATGGGCTAAATTGTTCACCTGGATCAGTGCGTTATACAACCACAACTCGTGTGTCATTCTCATTGGCAGGATGAATGACAGTAACAATAACACCCTCACTGAATCTAGGTTACAAATATGTTGGATGTATCTACATAAGTATATTAAGCTCAAGTAAATAACATCCTTTTATGATGTACTGTGATATCTTGGTTCATAAATATACTAAGACAATGACTAGATTCTCACAACACACCAACTACAGATTTGCAGTTCCACATGGTCTAATCTAGCCTTTGTACTTTCTGACTTTCTGCATATTCCTAGTATTTAAAGCATTTTACACACATCACATTAGGGATGCTTACAAACCTTAAACCTTAATTAAGACTGGGTACCATTAACGTCATGCCACTGTTGGAATGAAGAAGGAGCTTGAAATAGATGCCTTGCAGAGGCCATACATCCCAGAGTTAACAATTAAGACTTATCTCTTTCAAGCTTGTACCTTAAACAGCAGCAGTGAGACTGTTAGAGCTGCATTTGAGACCACACCTGAATGTTATTATTTCAATTTGCAGAGGTTTTTTTTTAATATATGTAGGGGTGACAATTCTTTGTGAGTGTGTGTGCATGTATGTGGTGCCTCTGGGGAAGATGAAAGATAATTTTAGGAGCTATATGCAAGAGGAAGTGGTTAGTCATTTTAGTTCTGAGCTATGAATTGTATCTGTGGGTTGTAGAAGCAGTAGATGTAGGTGAAGAACAGAAAGTAGGATGTTGATTGAGGCTGAATGGAGAGAGGCTCCGTTCAGCCATGATTGTGGGGTAGATATGAAATGAATCCAAAAAGTCCATTGAGCTGTTTCAGATATTGCAAGGATGCATGTTCATTCACATGGTGTATATCACTCACTCTTTTGTTTACTAGATTTATATTGTTGGGAGTTCCTAGACAACCAGTAGCTCACAGTTTCATGAACAGTGTCATTTTTTGTCGGTTACTATGACTGCAGTTGGAAATATGCCACTCAACAGAATAATAAGTTGAATAAGTCAAAATCCAGCATCTGGATGACTGTGCAACCAATCATAATAAATAACTGTTTAGACTGGATTTGGAATTTTTATCCATCTATTGAGTCCTTCCCGAGGAACTCAGATAGGCAGATGTTTGATGCTGGAGAAAGTATCGTTTCAGGATGTAAGCTGTTCCAAGTAAAGCTGCCTTTTGCAATTGACTGATGGTGATTTTTGTCAATGCTGACTGTGTTCAAGTGGTGCTTCGGTTGCTTTGGGATTAACTATTGGTACTATCTTTGCTTTCTTTGCCACAGTTCTGTTTGCATTTCTAGGCAAGCACCCCCTTGAATTAACAGTTGTTGATAAAAAAAGACCAAAAAGTCTGCATAGTGGATGTTGTGGTACCTACAGACAGCAGAAGAGAAGAGAAAGAACTGGAGAAAATCACAAAATACAATGTCCTGCAAATAGAATTCCAATTCTTGGTTTGTTGATCTCCAAGTTATACTAGTTCCCAATTGATGGTCTTCTGTGGATCGTATTATTGTTGCTTTTGCTTCCTGTTCAGAAATTATTATACGTTATTAGATGATTAGTATTGTGGGGAACAAGAAGGCAGCAGTGGCTTTGAATCCTGGAAAATCATAAAGGTGAAAGGTGCCAATAGTTCATTAAAAGTGAGACCTATAAGCTAAGAGTTCTTGGGTTCACTTTGCCTATCAGTTCAGGAGGTGACCTTAGCTAAGTGGTGTTTTTATCTTTAATTGTCTTATATTCTTTCACTGTAATATGAAAATGAATATTATAATGCAAGCTTTTCTCATAAAAAATGTTGTAAAATGGCCAAACAGACTTTGGTATCATGTAATGAACTTCAGAAATACTGACTTAATAAATAGAGGAAAGCCCTCCATTTTATGGGAAATTAAGATGACATTGTGTTTATCTCTGCAGTAAACTGCAAAACAGACCAACAGTTTTGTAGATTTTACTTTGTTGATAGTTTCACTGACAGCAAGATTATTTGTGCGGTTTGTAATCGCCAGCGAGGCACAACCTACTTGATGATAACAACTTTGCTGAGAAGGTGATGCTTTTGGTAGAAACCCAATTTGGCTTTTGATGTTTTCTCAAGTTGGCAACGAAGGCGCAAGCACCACTATCTATGCTCCACATCTTAACTGATTTTGGCAAATTGTCAGGGCTGTTCAGAAGTGTTGCAGTATTCCCCACCCAATGTTATTCCACACACCCAGAGCAGATCAAAAAGTTTGTAAAAGTTCATCTGTCAGATCTTCTTAATCAAGCAACTATGTTGGTGGTTTGGACAGACTTTGAAACATCACCTTCCTAACACACCTGTCTTTTGTTAAATTAGTTCTAGATCATCTATAGAAGCTGATGTTTTTCTATGGTTCCTTATTCATTGCTACCTAGATAGGTAGCAAGAGGTGCAGAAGGGCAAGGAAGATACTGAATTCTGTAGGGTTGTAGTTGTGTGAAATTAGCCACTGCATATGTAAATGTTGGTTTCTGGCTTGTTTGATCATTAAATAATGATTTATGGCTTTCTTGAAGCCAGCCAATGGAGGTTACTCAAATTGTAGTTAAACAAGGCATAACATAGCACAATACGTAAACTCAACCATTACGGAAGGCATAACCAAAATCCAAACCAAATTCCTGTTGGGTCAAACCAGGTTTTCCCATTTTGCAGATTATACAACTAAAAGGTGATTTCCAAAATTGACAAAAACAGCAACAACAACAACAATAACTGTAGCATAATTACAATCAAAAATATATATCTCAGGAAGGTGGCAAACCAGATCTCTTACAGGCCCCCAGACCTCTTCTTTTTGAGCTATCCTGTATATTATCAGATAGTTTGGAAAGGATAAACAATTCTTATGGCTTATAGAAAGAAGTGATGAAAATTCACTGCTATCTGCAAATGTTCCCATTCTCAAAAAATACATTTCTGGATCCCCCCCCCCCCAAGCAGGATTACTGATTGATAAGATTGTCAGATCCACAACAAATATGTATGGGTCAAATTCACAATACATCCCAGCCGCAACATAGTGTTCAGGAGGCTGTAAACAGCAGTGATCACCTCTGCCACTTGTGTGAATCCTTGCCAGATGCAAAGCCCGGGTTGGCCAAGTATGCAGCCAAGATTTATGGAGTGAACCACGATGGCCAGGTTCAAACAATGCATTAAACTGCAAAAAGTGATTGAACAAATTCAGAGGTGGGGTAAATGCAACCCACTAAGCCAAAAGCAAACAAACACACGTTGGCTTTGTATGTTGTGCAAATTAGACCCAGCAAAGGTAGACCTACTCTGACAAAGACCAACATAATCTGGAAGTTATATCTGAAATATCACATGCCAGTTTTGGTTTGGATTGTACTTTTGGGAACCACTGAATTAATTCAGAGTGGCATAATCCAACGGGAAATCAAAAGCTTTGGACTGATAAATTTTGCACCTGCCTATTGTACTTCTTAAAAGTTCTGGTATGAGAGTGTCTTTAGGCTGTTGGAGAAGTCCAACAAGTGGATCAGTTTTGGTTCAGTTACTCTAGCGACACCTGCTAGACATTTGCAAATGAGAACAAAATTAGCTGTTAGCATTCATGGTTGGCCGGTGTTGCGATTTTTCAGAAAAAAAAAAAAAAAACTTTGACGAGACAAATGTGTAACAAAGTAGTGGTATTAATTTTTAGCGACGTCTTTTTAATTTCACATCCCTTTACTTTTCCTCAGTTTCATAATGACTATAATTAAATCCCAAGGGAGGGATGTGCCCTTCTCTCTCTCCCATTCTGTCCAGTTTGGAGTAATTTTCTAGAAGGTTGCAAGGACGCCTTCTCCTGTTGAGCATATGTGTAGGTGCTCCAGGCCTAAGAGACGCTTGAGGGGTGCTCTCTAGACCAGAGGTGTCAAACTAGATTTCATTGAGGGCTGCATCAGGATTGTGTTCAGAGGTGGTATTCAGCAGGTCCTGACCAGTTCTGAAGAACCAGTAGGGGAAATTTTGGGTAGTTTGGAGAACCGGCAAATACCACCTCTCCCTGGGCCCGCCCCCATCTATTCTCCACCGCCCAAGTCCCAGCTGATTGGCTGGGTCTTCTTTTGTTGCCCTGCACAGGAGAACGGAGCTGGAAAGCAGGTTAGTGGGATGGGGAGGGAAGGCGATTTTGCAGTAACCTTCCCCTGCAACACCCACCAAGCCACGCCCACAGAACCGGAAGTAAAATATATTGAATCCACCACTGGTTGTGTTTGACCTCGGGGGGCCAGGGGGCTGTGGCTACGGTGGGTACGGCCAGCTCAACATCACTGACTCTGTTTTCGCTCGCAGATGGTTGCAGGGGGCTATTGCAGCTGAAAACTGAGCCCAGGAGGGCTGTGGGCAGGCTGCA